TCCATATGCTCATCTCTAGATTTTAGTGTTAAAATTTGACATATATGGTGTGAGTAAAATGTTCCAAAAAATTAGTGTTATTAAAATAGTAAATTACTAAAATCGTCTACATAATTTGGTCAAAATTATACGTTTGGTCTTTAACTTTTATTTTGAACTCGGATCATCTATTTTGATGTTGCATTTTTTTGTCATTGGCAAATATGAAAAGACCATACTACCCTTTTTCATCTTGTTAATAATAAATATAATATAATATAAGTTACACTAATTAATATTCTTTAATTTATACATTAAACATATAATAAAAATTAAAAAATAAAAGATAAGTCCCAAGATAGTATTTTAATGTCCGTTAGACAAAAAAAAAACATAACAAAATATACCCCACGGGCATTCTGTATGTAAAATATAAGTTATGGACTAAACATGTAATTTTGACCAAAGCACAATGATGATTTTAGTAATTTACTCTAATTAAAGTTTACACTAATACCGAATAATGTTTTAAACTATGTTATAATATAAGATGGAAAGTGCACACTTTTATATAAGACATGTTTGATCTCGAACATGAGAAAATTCATAGTTAAATGGGCAACCCTCCTTGCGGGGTCCAAGGGCCAAAGGAAAACATGCTCAAAATGTAATAAAGTTTAAGAAATAGACAAGTGTGAGTTTGCTCGGGGACAACTCAAGTTGCCTAAAACCAGAAGTTGTTGACATCCAAGTTGCCTGATAGCCCAAACTGTCCTGATAACCTAAACTACATATGCAACTTGAAACGAAACAACCTTAAGGATTATCTTAAACTGAATTTTATTAGTAACCCACAATGAAGAACTATCAATACATAAAAAAAAGACATACATTATTTTGAGAAATCCATATTCTTGATTACCAAACCCGTATTTTCTAGTAATATTTTACATGTTATTTTAATGTCCATCCAAAACCAGAAATATCATCAAAACACTTTTTTGCTGGGTTGAAACAAATTGAATTAATTTTAACAGATCAACAAACCATATATGGACTAAAGTTACTATTCATCGAAAACAATAACAAATATTTTTGAAGGGAGTAAATTGGAAGGAAGGAGTTTTAAACGGGGCCGAAGCGCAACTTTTTCGAAATACATCCAAGAGGAAACGAAGAAGCTTCGAGGGCTTACCCGTCGATTGACAAGGTATGCCGTCGGTTGGAATCTCCGGCAACTAACCCTAATTTTAACCAATTCCTCTCAGTGTGCTTAGTTGATTTTAATATCTCTAAATGCATTTAAACGGGATCTCTATGTAGAGTGGTATGTCAAAAATTGAAGAAATAACCCCAACAATCTGATATAGGTTTTGTCTTATGTGTGCACAAATAAATTTATGCCTTCTTTATCTGATTTTTATTCTGCTTCTTCTATATAAACATGCGTGTTTTTATGTGTTTATATCATTTGTTTGAAGTGTTGCAGGCGATTTACTAAAAGTTTGATATGGGCACTGAAGTTGGGTGGTTCATACTATCCGAAGATCAACAACACGTAGGTCCATATGCTGCGTCTGAATTGAGAGGTGAGTATTGAATTCATGCCATAGTTAATGTTGATGATTGTTTTTAAACGTTCATTTTGTTTTCAAATTAGACGCTCCTTCGTGTTAGCAGAAGGGCGGGTTTTTTGAATCTGAAAGTTGTGGGATTATTGCACTTCATTTGTTTTGCAAATGGAGTTCTAAATCATATCACATTCAGATGCTCACAGAAGCTTTTCGATCATCTAATTAAGATTATCTTCTTCACATCCACAGAACATTTTTCTAGTGGATATATTACAGGGAACACACTTGTATGGGCTGAAGGAAGGAGCGAGTGGCAACCCCTGTCCTCTGTTCCTGGACTAATCTCTGAAAACTCTGAACAAGGTACCTCCTCATTTGTACCAATATCTGTTGTCTTCCTTTGAATATGTGAAGATGAATCTGAATTTAGGGTTAATTTTTCAGTGCCCTCATCGGCTTCCATTGATGACGAGTTTGAAAGGTGGCAAAATGAGGTGAGAAGTGCTGAGACAGAGGCAGACAATGAAGTTGCCGATGACGATGAGAGGCCTTCATCTCCTCCAGATGGTCAGAACGAGTTCACTGATGATGATGGGACTGTGTACAAGTGGGACAAAAAGCTTAGAGCCTGGGTTCCTCAGGTTAGTTTGACTTTTGTCAATTTTGACCATTTCTTGATTTCTTGCTTATTCACAGAATTTTACGACTTATGATAGGAAATGGCTGCTGGAAGTGAGCCATATGATCTTGACCATATGACATTTCAGCAAGAAGAAGAGTTGTTTCCTACAGTTGGGGCTGATGGTATCCCTGTTAAAGAAGATGCCAACACTTCTGTAAATGCAAATGCTGATGTCATTGCAGAAAAAGATACAGATAATGCAAATGAACTGATAGAAGCAAATGGGAAGAGGAAATTGCCTGAAAAACCTGTTGAGAAAAAGGTTGATTCAATACTGTGTTTGTTTGCCTGTATAACTGGTCTATCTGATTGCTTCATCTTTAAAAATCTTTCTTGTGGTGTATCTCAGGAAGCCAATCAACCTCCAGACAGCTGGTTTGAGTTGAAAGTTAATACACATGTTTATGTTACAGGGTTGCCAGATGATGTTACCTTTGATGAGGTAAATTTGTATAGATTTGATGTTGACTCTAGTTTGTTTGATAAGGTTGACCTTTATAATCTGGTTATTTATTCAAATTTAATCTAAATTTGGTTCAGGTTGTGGAGGTGTTTTCCAAGTGTGGGATTATAAAGGAGGTTTGGAACTTTTACTATTGTAATATACTATTTTTGTTTTCATTTTACTATTTTATGAAACTCTTCAGATTCAATCTTTTAATTATCTTCTCTGGAATATTATAGGATCCTGAAACAAAGAAACCTCGTGTGAAGATCTATGTCAACAAAGAAACTGGAAAGAAAAAGGGTGATGCTCTTGTTTCATATATAAAGGTATTTTTTTTTTCTTTCATAACCCTTTTTTTTATTATTTCTTTATATTAATGACATTAATATGTGTAATGTGTTTTGCACAGGAACCTTCAGTTGCTTTGGCCTTGCAAATTCTTGATGGATCTCCTTTACGACCTGGTGACAAGGTTGTCATGTCAGTCACACCAGCTAAATTTGAACAGAAAGGTAATTTATTATTAGTATTATATTAATAAAAGGGTATTCATTTTTGTAATAATTCACTTAAATTGTTTCTTACAGGTGAAAAATTCATAGCAAAACAAGTGGACAAGAGAAAAAAGAAGAAGCTTCAGAAGGTGGAACACAAGATGCTTGGGTGGGGTATGTGTTCATGATCATAATCATATATTTTTAACATTTTTTTGATAGATATTCAATATTTTGTTATAATCATAATTCATAAACATATATTATTTCTTTTTATGATTTAGGTGGGCGTGATGATTCAAAATTACTAATTCCAGCTACTGTTATTCTCCGATACATGTTCTCTCCAGCAGAAATGAGGGTAATTTAGTAAAATCTGGCATGATATTAACGGTAGTATGAAAATAATAAAATCCATGAAGTTACATAACCTTAAATTTGTTTCTTAATGTCAGGCTGATGAGAATTTAAATGTTGAATTAGCAGCAGATGTTCAAGAGGAATGTGCAAAGCTTGGTGCAGTTGAATCAGTCAAGGTAGCATTGACTTTTTAATGTTTATTCTTTTTACTAACATAACAATGTACTTTATCACCCTTATGTAAATTATTATTATATATTATGGTTATGGTTGTTTTTGTAGGTTTGTGAAAATCATCCTCAAGGGGTAGTTTTGGTAAGATTTAAAGACAGGCAAGATGCACGAAAGTGTATTGAGTTGATGAATGGAAGATGGTAAATTTTTTATAAATAATGAATGTATTAAGAGTGTGATTAGTGAAAGTGTTGATTATTTGGTTTGGTTTGGTTTGGTTATGGTTAGGTTTGGAGGTAGGCAAGTGCATGCTAGTGAGGATGATGGATTGGTGAACCATGCTTTGGTTAGGGATTTGGATCATGATGCCCAACAGTTGGAGAAATTTGGGGCTGAACTTGAGGCTGAATGACTTAACAACTTCTGAAGCATCAATGCACATATAGATTATGATACACAAGACACAAGTCTACTACTTAATAGCTACAGAATCTTCAATTTCTTTGAGTGTGTTGTGTTGTGTTATGTAGTTGAATAATATGGGTTACTTGTTTTAGGATTATAGTTTAGTTACTCTTGTGATTGATTTTGATGCTGTAACTTTAAGGTTGTGTTTGTTACATGAGACTGGGTTCTACTCGACTAGTCAAACTTTTTGGGGTTATTTTTAAATACCATGATGATGATGGTGAGGGTATCTATGTCTTTTCCACAAATGGGAGATCGAGAAAGAGTCTATGTTATGTTATGACTTATGTGGTCTTATAATTTTTATGCTTGGATGGTTATGGTTTGTTTATAATTTTATTTAAATTTTAAGGGACGTGAATTTTACATAGAAACTAGAAAGAGTGTAATCTTAGTTGAATTTTGTTTATGGAAACATATTTTCGAAATCAATACATGAAACTCAAGTTATAAATAAATTTACATAAATAACAGACTTTATTTTAAACGAGAAAAGCGGTTATCAAAAGTAAATTTTCTTTTATTTTACGAAACCAGAACATGAGTTGATTATAAACGGAAAAAATGGTTTTTAAACGTTGATACTAAATCTGGACAAATTTCAACTTTATAGAGGGCTTGAGACTTTAATAAAAATTCGAGTTGAGTTCTTATGGATTTGACTGTTATATGTTTCAAGCTTTTAATATTATTTTTATTTTTATTGTTTTTATTTTCTATTTATACTCAAACTTAATAAAAATCACTGGAAGTTGGACTCGTTTAATAAAGGCATAAAAGAACTCCTTTTTGTTTTATCACACTCTTCGTATTTTTATTTGGTGTGGTAGGGACCAGGGAGTATAGTAAGTCAACAAAGTTTCATCAACGAGATTTCTGATTTCTACACTCCCCCTTGCTGGTGGTTTGCCGTTTGCATCAGTCGAGCTCAACGATGGAGGAGGAGAGAAAGAGATTGGTTGAGGAAGAATGGAACTCCATGATTTCAACCAAGCAGCAAATCTCTCTTGCTGATTTCCCCTCCAGATTCCTCTTTTGGCGTCGCTACTTCCGCTTATCAGGTGGTTTTCCTTTTCCCCTCTCGATTCATGTAGCTACTTGTATACTTTTCATTTCACACTTCCATACGCTTCTTTCATTTCAATACTCTTGGATTATTGCAATCAGAAACTTGATCCTTAGATCGCCATTTCAGATTTCGAAATTTACCTTAATTTATGAATAATGCTGAAATGCGGACTGTGTTAAACTGATAAACTCTGATTCCAACAGATGCCTTGATGTGTATTTGAAATCGTAACCTAATGGTTATATCAACTGATAAAAGCTTCATAAAATTGGTTGCTTGTTTACTTGGATGCATCATGATGCACTAAAAGTTAGTTTATAATTATGTAGTATCTTAACATGTTCTCTTGTTTACTGCCTTGTTGCAGGTAGAAGGAGCTGCCAATCAGGGTGGCAGGGGTCCTTCTATTTGGGATACTTTTTCACACACACAAGGTTTGCAGAATTTTTAAACTCGCCATTGATGCTCCATTAAGACAACTATAAGAAACTTTCACATCACTTTTCTTTTCTCTTGATCACCAGGCAAAATAAAAGATGGGAAAAATGGAGATATAGCAACAGATCAATATCATCGTTACAAGGTTTTCTTTGTGTACAAGATATGGTTAATCTATTCATTGCTTTTGTGTTGGGTCCATTAAGCTTATCACATTTACATTGACCAAATACAGGAAGACGTTGACCTAATTGCCAAAATGGGATTCAGTGCTTACCGTTTTTCCATATCATGGTCACGTATCTATCCAGGTATCCACTGTAACTATTTCTATTTATCAAGATACCTTTAATTAAACCCATATTAGATCCATTCAAAATGAATTAATCTTTGTTTACAGATGGATTAGGAACCCAAGTCAACAAAGAAGGGATCAAGTATTACAACAATCTTATAAACTACCTTCTCGAAAAGGGTATGCATTAAATTTTCCATTTTCCATTTTCCATTTTCCATTTTCCATTTTCTTTTGAGGATTAGCTCTTACAACTTACAAGTAACTTGCAATAGGAATTGAGCCATGTGTAACATTATACCACTGGGATCTCCCATTGCATCTTGATGAGTCAATAGGAGGGTGGTTAAGTGACTCAATAGTGTAAGGTTTCATCTTTTCTCCTTACCCTGAATCTTGATTTTTGTTAATGTTTATATCATAACTATCATTGCCAAAAATGCAGAAACTATTTCGCAATCTATGCAGAAACTTGTTATGAAAATTTTGGTGATAGAGTGAAAAAATGGATAACAATCAATGAACCACTTCAAACAGCAATAAATGGATATTTTACTGGCATATTTGCCCCTGGAAGAAGTGAACGTTTTTCAGCTGAACCTTATTTGGCTGCTCACCACCAGCTTTTAGCCCATGCACAAGCTGTTTCAATATACAGAACCAAATTTCAGGTAATCATTTTAAATGTTTCTAATCTTTATTCTACATGATTACTAATCTTTTGTTATGTTTGTGGCATTTTTTTTATACAATAGGCTCTACAAGGTGGCGAAATAGGATTGGTTGTGGATTGTGAATGGGCTGAGCCCTTAACAGATAAGGAAGAAGACATAACTGCTGCGAAAAGGCGTGTTGAATTTCAGCTTGGATGGTATTATTTAATTAAAAATTATAACTTTCTAACCCTTTTTACTATTTAAAAAAAAAAAAAAAGTGAATTTGTGATTTTAGGTACTTGGACCCGATATTTTTTGGAGAATATCCTAAATCTATGCAAGAGAGGGTTGGAGAGTTGCTTCCTGTATTTTCTGAGAAAGATAAAGATTTGTTAAAAAATTCATTGGATTTTGTTGGGTTGAATCATTATACATCAAGATTTGTGTCGCATAAAACAAATGAAAAAGAAAACCATTATTTTAGAGCACAAGAGATGAGATTAACAGGTATTATTACACTTACATTGCTTAGTAAACATATATAGATACATAAATGTTTTCTTACATAATCTTTTTTGTCTTATCAGCTGAATGGGAAAATGGTGTAATTGGTGAAAAGGTACTCCAGTATATTCATATATAATATGATTAATATCTACTTAAGTCCCGATTGTTCTGTTAAACAAATCATATCAAAACAAAACAAAACAAGACAAGACATTGACCGGTTCTTGGTTTTTTATATATGCAAAAAGACGAAAATGCCCTTCTCATAGAAAGATTTACTAAGTTAGAAGTGCATTAGACAATGGGACAAAAAGTATAACCTTTTGTATGTGCAAAAAGACGAAAACGCCCTTCTCATCCACACCAACAAAATCTTGGTGGTTTTGTTAAATCTTCTAATTTGTCACAGGCAGCATCATCATGGCTGTACGTTGTTCCATGGGGTCTCCGGAAAGTTCTTAAATACATAGCTCAAAAGTACAATAATCCACCAATATATATTACCGAAAACGGTATATTTCTTCTGTAATTTCTATATTATATTTAAAAATATATTTATTTTTGGGAATGCGTTGCTTGAAAAGCCCTTTATGAAACCATTTAACAAACAGGCATGGATGATGAAGACAATGATGCATCTCCCCTACATGAAATGCTAGATGACAAATTGAGAGTTGCATACTTTAAGTCCTATCTTGCAGCTGTTTCTCTTGCTATCAAGTCAGTCTTATTATTATTATTATTATTAATTTTTATAGAAATACGTTAAATATGTGATTTATTAATGAAATTAAAAATAAAAATTGTTGTTTAGGGATGGAGTTGATGTGAGGGGATATTTTGCATGGTCATTGGTGGATAATTTTGAGTGGCCACAAGGATATACAAAGAGGTTTGGTTTGATTTATGTTGACTATAAAAACGGTCTTACACGTCATCTCAAGTCATCGGCTTATTGGTTCATGAGGTTTTTTAAAGGTGAAGATGGGAAAAATGGCAAAGAAGATTGATGCAAACTTTTAATGTTTCAATTTGGATATAAATTTAAGGTATTAATTTTTATTCAGTTTTTGGATATAAACATTGCCAAAATATGGTGTTTATGTACAATGTTTTAAAGTTTATGGATCCAAATATATATTGTAATGGTTAGTAATGTCATAAACGGGCAACAAACCATTAAAATAAGGATATTTTCTTAACAAAACATACCGGTTGTTGCTTCCCTTATGATGATACTTTAATAAAAATAAAAAATAATTGTGTTTTTGAACATTTCAAATAGTTCAATAGTTTGTTATTTATTTTTGACATCCTAAAATAAACAAGTACACAGATTTCGCACATACCAACAATATAATGAGAATGGAATATAAAGGCACAGGAACACAGGGATTGTTATGTGGTCACGTAACATGTTTAGTTTATGCAACATGTAATTTTGCTGCATATTTTGATAAAGATTTGTAATTTCGTTACATAAGTAAATATTTAACATTTTAACCTTACTTTTTTCCCATGTAAAACTAACATATTCTGAAGTATCTACAAACTTCAATGTTTATCATTTAAATATATTACATGTTTGAAGAGACCTAATAAAGGATTAATTTGCAAAATTGCTTCTTTATCGGTTTGTTATTATTATTATTATTATCATTATTTTGCTTCCATGGTCTACATGATTTCATCCCTAGGTCATTGGTTACGGTAGCAATGAAGTTTGCGGGGTGCTGATGTGGCATGTTGGCTTCAACAGGAACACCACATTATGTGACAGTGATGGATGAAAGATGAAAGCTAGCCTTATTTTGGATACTATTTCATGCCCACTAACACTATCAGATCGTTAAATACTTAAATACATGTAAAACTACTAGTATCACCAACATTTACATTATTAAATAATGTCTTCCCACATTGTAATAATATACTTTACATAGCCATATTTAATACATAACTATAGATTAAATAAAAAACCAAAGACAAAAATGCATAGATTGGCTAACCCGACCCATCAAGATTTGACTTGTCATCCAATCTGTTACATTTGCAGCCTCTAGCAAGCACACATGTCTACCCGCTTTGGATCCTAGTGTTAGGGAGAACCAAACGACAAGCAACACAAGACACACATTTAAGTTCACACGACTATTGTAATAGTGCTGAGAATTTTAATGATGATAAAAGGGGACGATGATTTGAGTCATTTTTGCAGTTGGGTTTTGTTTCTTTTCTCAGGTTGTGTTGCTTTCAATCGTCTACTCTTTTTGATCCTCAACCAGCAAATTTATTCTCGAGAATCAAATATGGAGTCTCTTAGACATTTCACCAAACACCTAACATGCATCAGTATAGGAGTATATACAACACAACAAAGGATCCATACATGTCAAGTTTACGAGAAAGATTTAGGCAGATAATACTTAGATAAATATGATGATGTTGACATTCCATGATTCCAGGATGAAAAATCTCAAAACAGATTAAACTGACTCGTATGGAATCGATTGTTTGTGGATTAGCAAGAGGAAAGGGAGATTCTTCCTGGGAAATTGCAACAAGCAACATACCAACAAATATATCATATAGAGAGATTCATATCTCTTCGGACATTTCATCAAACACTTAACGTGCATATGTATATGCATCAATATTCAATATGCAACCAAAAACCTCGATAAACGCCAAGACGATCGCACAACATCATTATGAATTTATAAAACGAAAAAAGGTCCAGGCATATAATCCAAGACAAAATTCAAGTTTCAAGATGCAAAATTCTTCAACAGATAAAATTACAAAATCACAAGCTGTCAATTTTCTTGGTCTAGGCTTGAATCGTTGACCTTATCTGTTATGATGGAGTCGGTTGTTTGTGGGTTAGCAATATCATGAGGAGAAGAAGATTCTTCCTGGGAATCGAGCAACTTGTTCATGTCTCTTACTCTACTTGTAGCAACGTTTGTGACAAGCACTGGAAACATGAGAGAGTTATTCAGATGGGAGTTATGGGGAAGGCGAAATAAGAAGGTAGGGCGGAGATATTAGTTACCGGCGGCGGTGCCGATCGTCCATATCCAGAGAATCTTGACTCCGGGGCTCTTCTCCTTCCACATTGTGATCGCGTTACTAAATTTGGAGGAGTGATGACCTACACTTCATTCGTGTTGTTTTCCTTTTCTCGGACAATTTGGGTATGAAATTAACTTAATTTTAATTATAAAAATAATATTTTAATAATATTATTCTGGATCTTAAATTCGGTAAGTATGCTTTATATCAATACTGTCACTGTGTAGGAAAATATAATTATTTATATTTGTCAAGATATCAGATATGTATGGATTTTAAATCAAATAAAGTTAGTTTGTATAATTTAGATGATTTAAGTGGTTATATAGCAACGTTGACAGGTCTATTGTCTTATAGATTATAAGCTGAAAAATCAACACAATCATTTCTTCAAAACTTTGAATCCCTATTTTTTTCTTTACTCTTTTATTCAAAACTTTGGTCTGATTATAATATAGCATACGAGATAGATAGATTTCAAAAGTTGTATTATTAAAGTTAATCGTAGTTACAAGTTTTATAACAAGATTTTTAAGCAAACCACAACCAATAATGAATCAAATAAGCCACACATACAAAATATCTTCCTAAAAAAGTAGTTAAAACTCTTCTAATCTTTACATCTAGTTTCAAAATTCTTCAAACAATCTTCAATAAAACTTAAAGAATGTCATACTCTACTACAGATGGGCAAAACAGTCTTTTAACCTCAAGAGCAATCCGTATACACCATGATAAACTAATTAAAATTACTTGATAAATGATGCGACTGGGTGGCCTTCAACCTTTGCTCTCTTCATCACCTCCTCCTGCCCACTTACAATTATTATTACTACATGTAAATATGCATACATACATATAAACACAAATAATTTCCACAAATTTTAGGTATATATAATTTCCCCAATTTTATGATATTTGTTTTTGTTCAGTTATATTGAAATTATTTTTGTATGTACTATCTTTTACAAAATATAAAGAAAATGATGACATAAAAAAACAAGAAACAGAAAAAGATTGATTCAGATGTGTTATTCATGTTAATGTTTTAAGGTTATGAAATATCATTGTTAAAAGAATCTATATTTTACCTGGATCACTGCAGTTATGCTTCCAGGACACCCCTATCATCATTTTTAAAAAAATATTAAAAAAATCCATGAGCAAAATAAAGAAGTCTGATAATTAAAAATATTCACACCTGAAATAGTTTCTCTTCCCACATTACATCTTTCCACGTTTTAGAACTCAGTGAGTTCCATGAACTTGGAACTCGAATTGTTTCCACATGCTGCAGAACCCTCAAGCTATCTGTATAAAAACATATATATTATATATATATATATATATATATATATATATATATATATTTCTTTATTATATATGATGACGATCAACTCAAAAAGTAAGCATGATATACATTATAAAAGATGGCTAAACATAGAAATGAATTTTCAAAATGATTCAATTTGTTACAACACCATTAAAAATTTACATAAACAAAAAGGAGTTAATACTGCATTCCTTTTAAATTCCATTTCATAATGAAATTAAATAAAAAACACTCCTTGGCTACGTAATGAAAGTTAACAATATGAAAGGAATATTCAATGGTCCATTCCATTCCATCAGGCAAAGCAAACAATTTTTCTCCATTCAAATGGAATGAACCATTCCATTCCTTCCCCGATTCCATCACAACAAAAGAATCATATCATACTTGTAATAAATGCTTCTTCCCACAAGTGGCGTTTGGACCATGATGGAGCAACTTCACGTATCGGGATTCCAATTCCCAAACATACCCTACACAACAAAAAGAATCATTTTTACTACTATATTTAAGTAGATTTTCATTTTCCAAGGGCATAATTGTCATTACAATTCTTATTAAAAAAGGACTTACTTGATGATCACTTCCCGTACTACTCCCGGAAGGACACCATCACTTTTTGGAGCTGTCTGTAATTCAACTGAAAAACCATATTTACTTTTCAGCCCTTCCTCCTCTGTATTTCTACTGTCATCTTTTACATTATCCTGCATATACATGTCACAAAAAGAAAAATAAGCCAGAAAATGACTGTAACTGAAGTTACATACACAAGAGCACAATTACATGAAAATATGAAATGACAATAATCTCCTCTAAGTTGCAACCATTAACAGCATACCTTACGACAGATAACAAAAAAATTTGTTAAACAGCCTTCAAGAATGTGATCTCCATCATTTGAAAGCAAGAGCTCAGTAGCAGATGGAGGCCTCAACTTCTCCAACGGTTTCCTCATCCTACTCAAAAACCATATTCTCAGATGACAGTGACAGTGACATTGACATTGAGAGTGAAAGTAGCATTATATTTACCTGACCCAATCTGAGTACTTCGCATTTGCAGTATCTCTTCCATGGCCAACAAGAGCTAGATGAGCGCCATCTGTCCGGACTCCAAATACAGGAGGAGTATATAAACTTACATGAAGATGCAAACTAAAAACCCTATGGATTTTTTCTTCACCTATCTTCTCGTTTGAAATCAATTTCTCCAAGTTTCCACTCACAAGAGCAGTGAATGCCAATTCTGTTCCAGGTTTCCTCTCTTTCAATGCAACAGGTATTGCTTTTGTCATTGAATTATTAACTAAAGACGGAATCAGTGAATCCCATTCCAGGGATTTCATCTGTTGCAGGGATACGGGGGTCAAATTTATTCCTGGACAGAATAGAAGGTTTGGACATGAATTGAAGAGAATGCTTGTGGAAGTAGAAAGCCTGCGCAAATGCCTTTCCCAGAAGTGAAATTCTAAGCCATTGTTATGAGTTCTGAAGGTAGTGTAAGCACCTGAAATTGAAATGCGTGGAATTCAATCATTATTTGAAATTGATATTTTAGGGCCTAATTTTGTAGTGCTCCCTATGGCGCCAATTGATTAACGATAGCGAATTATCAGATATTAAGTTCGCTAATACTCCATTAAAATGAAATTTAGATGCGATAAGTTGGAGAAGTAAGAAGGAATGGAGCAAACCTGGATGGGATTCAAGCAAGGTTGTCACTGGAAGAGCGGAGGTAGGTGAGGCGACACCATTGACGAAGAGAAAGACCGGGTCAGACATTCACTGCAACTAAGCCGAGCGTTGGAAGTCAGGTGAGGTGAGACAGCGTATAAAAACCTCGACAAAATTTGCTTCTTCCTCTATCTCTCAACATCGCACAAAGCCACAACCCTTTTTAGCAAAATCACAACACAGTTATTTCATAATCAGAAGTTTAGATAGAAATATATATATATATATCTCCTGGATCAAATATATGAATTCGGATTTATCAGATAGAGAATCAAAATGTTAAAAAAATGGACTGTGGTCACAAAAACAATAAAATAAGCACAACCAACAAATTAGTTATCAAGAAATCTGAACTGAGGTTAACCAAATAGAAAATCATACCTCTGAACGGCTGAAGTGTACACAAGTAAACAGAATTAGTCTTCACTTTTCAGAATTAGATATTCAAGTAAACAGAAGAAATCGTCAAATCGGGATAGAGGGTGAGAGGGTATTTATAAATCGATTGAAAGAGTGACGAGGGTATATACACAAATCGTGTGATTTGAGAAAGAAATTGACAGGAGAGATTCGACTCCTAGTATACGCTTCGTTATTCTAGGAGACTAGGCGTTGAGTACAATCAAAACATTTCAATTCTCGCGCTTTGCCTCCCTGCATCGATTGAAGTTACCGCCTTACCGTCGAAACCGATCGAATGGACAACTTGGCTAAAATGATGCCCTTATCTTTTTGATGCCCTGGGCTACTGCCCAGTTCGCTGGGTCGGCGCCGGCACTGCACACCGGAGATTTAAGATGGAACGGACCATGGGGCGAAACAAAATTTTTAAATAAATAATATATATCTAAATGATTATATATATATATATATATATATATATATATATATATATATATATATATAGGGGTAAGTTCAATTGATAAAATAAAAAAGGTTGAGAATGGGGAATCGTTCTCAGTCACTCATTTATTTTTGCCGCAAAAGCCTTTGTTGTAGCAGCGGAAATGGATAAGGAATACACATGTGTTTCCAACAAAACATGTTTCCTTAAACTATGCTAATCATTACCTTAATATATACAAAAATATAGTTTTTTTTTGTTTTTTTAATTTTTAAGAAGTTATTTATATCGAAAAATGATTTTAAATATACCAAAATTCATGATTTTTTATTCTCTACAAATAGACATCCATATTGATATACTTTTACGATAAAATAAAAAATTTATTTTTTTTATATTTTCAGTTATCGTTATTCATAAGTGAATAAAAATGCATCAGATTTTTGCTACAGTACATTCGTTATTCACTTATGAATAAAAATATATAATTAATTTTTTTTACAGTTTAAGTATCATTTATACTACTTATTCATATATGAATAACAAATTAACTGTATCAAAAATCTGATAAACGTCTTATTCATATATGAATATAAAATATGACGACAACTAATACACATTTTATTCATATATAAATATAATATATGATGAAAGATGATGTAAAAAAATATATTTTAAGTAAGAAAACTTTATTGCGTGTCATATTCATATATGAACAATACTTAAACTATAAAAAAAGTTACGCATACGTTTTATTCATAAGTGAATAACGAATATACTGTAATAAAAATCTGATATATTTTTTTATTCACTTATGAATAACGAGAGCTGAAACTCTAAAAAAATAAATTTTTTATTTTATCTTAAAAGTATATCAATATGGATGTCTATTTATAGAGAATAAAAAATTATGAATTTTGATATATTTAAAATAATTTTTCGATAATAATGGCTTTCTAAAAATAAAAAAAACGAAAAAAAGTATGTTTTGTGTATATTAAGGTAATTATTAGCATAGTTTAAGGAAACATGTTTGGTTGGAAAACACATGTTTATCCGTTATCCATTTCCGACGGTACGCTTAAGTGTTTTGCGGAAAAATAAATGTGTGGCTGAGAATGATTCCCCCATTCTCAACCTTTTTTTTTCTCAGTTGAACCCTCATATATATATATATATATATATATATATATATATATATAATATATAAGATATATATATATATATATATAGATATATATATATATATATATATATATATATATATATACCCTTAAGGGTATATAAGGTTACGCACCCAAACTCACCATAGTACGTCGTTTTGTATCATATATACATTGTAATTGTCTGATGTTCTTATAATTCAACTTCTAACTTGATTTACTTCTAAGATTTTTATAAATTTCACATTTATATTCCTCTTACATAATTCTCATTTTCAACTATAATATATATAGTCTAATAGGTGTTCGACAAAAAAATATGATGTAATTGGAAGATAATAGTGAAATTTCGAAAATCTTTAACTGAAATCAAGTTAAGGATTGAAGTTTAATAACATTATAATTAATATATCAAACAAAACGACGTATTATGGTGGGTTTGGGTACCTAAGTTTATATACCCTTAAGGGTATATTCACTTTTCCGATATATATATATATATATATATATATATATATATATATATATATATATATATATATATATATAGCTAGGTTCAAATGTGGATTGACATCGTGTGGACGTGTGCACAATGCTATTATGTGAGAATGACAAAGAAAATAAGTTGTTTGATAATATGAATACGTTCAATCTTATAAAATTATTGTAATTATTACGTATTTTCACTAATTAAATCGTCTATAAGGTTATTTTATATATATATATATATATATATATATAGGGTGGGGTTCAATAGAGAACCATAATTAACCAAGGAACCAAGGAACCAATCGTGAGCGTCGGAAATCATAACGATCAACGGCCAAGGAAATAGATGTACACTTTTACATTGGACGCACACACACCGGATTATACCAAAATATCCACCATTTACAAAAAAACCCACCACTTTTTTTCGTTTAAAATTTTTTTTAGGTCATGTTTTTTATCGAAAAAAAAACCGAATATACCGTTGTTCACGATTTTTCGTCATCTTTCCATAGATATCCATAATTATATATAAAAAACGAACTTTTTTTTTCGAAAAAACTCACTTCATTTTCTTTGATGAAAAAAGTTAAGGTCTATTTTTTTATAGAAAAAAAATTAATAAATATACAAAAATTCATATTTTTTGTACTTTTTAAACATAGATTCATATTCATGTTAAAAAATATATATAAAAAAAAACGATATTTCAGTTAAGATTCACATTGTGAACCTGTTCAGATTATATTGTAAACTTGTTCAGATTCACATTGTGAACCTCCTCAGATTCACAGTGTGCATAATAATAAGTCAGATTCACAGTGTGAATCTGAACTGATCGGAGCTTTTTCACATTGTGAATGTTAAAATTTGAAATATTTACAGTTTAGATTCATAGTGTGAATCTATAACGATCGAGGTTTTTTTTTTTTTTTTTGTGAACCTTCTCAGATTCACAGTGTGCATAATAGTAATTCAGATTCACAATGTGAATCTGAACTGTTCGAGATTTTTCATATTGTGAATGTTAAAAATTGAAATATTTACAGTTTAGATTCACAGTGTGAATCTACACTGTTCGAGGGTTTTTTTTAATCGGTATTGATGTTTATTAATAGAGTACAAAAAATTAATATTTTTGGTATAATTAGTTTTTTTTTTTTTTATAAAAATAAACTTAAATATTGAAAAAACTAAGAAAATTAAGTGGGTTTTTTTCGAAAAAAAATTTTCGTTTTTTATATATCATCATGGATCTCTATTGAAAGAGGACGAAAAATCGTGAACAACGGTATATTCGGTTTTTTTTTTTCGATAAAAAACTTGGCCTAAAAAAATTTTAAATGAAAAAAAGGAAGTGAGTTTTGTTATAATCCGGTACATGTGCGTCCATTATAAAAGTTTACAACCCTTTCTTTTGCCGTTGATCACTTTAAATTCTGACGTTTTGCATTGGTTCCTTGGTTCGTTGATTAATAATGATCTCTATTGACTTTTATATATAATAATATATATATATATATATATATATATATATATCTATATATATATATATGGTTTTGAATTTGAATTTTAGAAATTCTCATAATATAAAATTTCAAATAATCATAAACAAGAGAATACATAATCGTCGTTTTGAATGATACTCTGTTGATTGTTTGTATGATATTTTTGATAGATGATATGTTATTCAGAATTTAAGAAACTTCAACAAATAAATTTAAGAGTAAACTCATTCATAAAATTTCGCTTCCTTTATTTGTTAAAGATCAACGATTCTTCTATAGACATTATTTTACAAAGATGACATATGACTAACTATTGTTAGTCAATTACATATAGTTATATATTATTATTAATGCTACTTTCATTATTACTTGTCATATCATAAACGTTCATAGACTTAGGGCACTATACATGCATTACACAATTATATGACATGTCACTATTACATTTGACTTATTCCACTACATTATTGATTTTGAAAGGTAGTAGTTAAATAATATATGCGGCGAATGCTTATCTTTTATATCTTTCCCTTGGATAACGACGACGGTAGATGTGATAGACGTCATTGTATGTATCATTATTTCCATTATTGGCTATGATGACATTGCGCGTGAGTTTTGGGGTGGGGGGAGGATTGTCTTGTGACTTTGTGACCATCTGTGAGTATTGCTACGTTTCTTCACAAATGAAAGAGAATTTTTTTTTTCTATCTCCATTCTTCTCACTCTCCTTCACACTTACTAGTGGAACACCTTTTCTTAACATTGGTGAGATCATGTGGAAATGTGTTTGGTTAATGTGGCCATCTCATATGTGTAACAATCCTCACATGCACTCTGTATAGCCTGAGAGTTAGTAGACGGCTAAAGTAAAAGCCATCAAAATTAGGCTTCAGGGGAGTTCAAGTAAAATGTTACGAAATCCAATAAGCCAAAAAAACGATTTCAATCAATTTAGGATTTAGTGGAATCAAGATCTATACTAAAATATACAGAAATCTTTGGATCTCCTCTAAGTTAATATCTTGTTAACTCAAATCATGTATATGAGATTAATTTTGGAAATATTTCATAAAAATATTAAATTTTTGTAAAAAATCGATTTTGACAATGTGTTTTTTCCTTATAATTAAGACATTAAATTTTCATAAAATTTGAATTTTAACATTACATTTTCCAATTTGTTCTCATTTGACCGAAGTTGACATGACATGGTGATGTGTTAGTCTTTGACGATGTGATGTTGACATGATATGATGACGTGAAACTTTTTGGTGACATCCCTTTCTGGGTGTCAGAATTGAAAATGAAATAAAATATAGTGAGTTAATTGAAAGAAAAACACAATATCAAAATCAAACTTTTCTAAAAACTTAATGTCTTTTGTACAACTTGTATTTATTGTAAAATAGTAATTAGGACTTTTTGGAGAGTTGGAGACCGTTTGTGGTCAAGCTTTTAGAGCAAATCAACAAAATAAAATTGGAGTCTACACATGAAATGTCATAATCTCGACATTATTAATTTACATTCCAATATGCAACATCATTGATGCTAATATGGGAATGGACGAAATGGATTCAATGTTTTATAGAACAAATTTTATATGTCTATCCATTAAACTCTAAATAATTCAATGCATCGTGAAAGTGCTAAACTTATTCGGCGAAATGAATAATTATATTGAAAGAAGTGTTATTTCGAGTTATGGATTTCATAATAAGTTGAATATTAAGAAGACAATAAGTTTTAGTGACCACTTTATGAGGCTACAAAATCCTGACATTAATTGCTATCACAAATATGTAACGAACAAATAATAAAAAAATATTATTTTGA